CTGTGGCGAACCCCAGACGATGCGCCACATGATCAATGACTGCCCACTCTCTCGCCTTACTGGTGGCATCGCAGTCCTTCACGTCACTCGGCCGAGGACCAAGCGAGACACTGGCTAATACTAGGGTCACACATTCCCGAATTATTGCCACGAATACCCCGATCTCTCCCGGATAAAAATTCTTGATGGCATCGGGAGAAATTAGCCCCGATTCGCTGTTTGTTAGAATAACTTAAAAATGAAACAGAAATAATCAAGATCTACAGGTACGAATTGGAAGCCGAATCAGATCGAACCAAGCGGAATGATTGCGATTTAGTGCAGAATAAAACCGAATTGTAGCGATTTTGCCAATAATAACTTACGAATAACTCAAGAATCATGACCCAGAATTATGCATAGTGTATTCGTAAGTTATTCTTATCATATTCGTACATTTCTTGATAATTGGAAGCCGAATCAGATCGAACCAAGCGGAATGATTGCGATTTAGTGCAGAATAAAACCGAATTGTAGCGATTTTGCCAATAATAACTTACGAATAACTCAAGAATCATGACCCAGAATTATGCATAGTGTATTCGTAAGTTATTCTTATCATATTCGTACATTTCTTGATACATTCATAATGATTCGGCATAATTATCAGGACTGTTTAACACCAAAAATCACTCTGCGAAACTTGTAAGGATGCTGTAAGAACATCCAGGAAACTGTAAGAATATCCAGAATAAGTTATAGTCCAGCGGATATGTGACAAAATTGTGCACTTTTGCATAAAAGCGTGAAACTTGGCACAGATGTTTATATTCATGCGAGAAAATGTTTTAGATATGGAGCCATCGCAAATTTACCCTTTTAGGGGCGTGGCATCCATTTAAAAAAAGGGGGGGCGGGACTTGTCATGCCCGCAGTAAAAATGTTTTTTCCCACTTGTTACAAAAGCAGGAAACTTCACAAAGACATAATTATATAGATTATTAGTGTTTTCCAGATTCGGAGCCACCACAAAAGTACCTTTTTAGGGGCGTGGCAGCCATTAAAAGAAAAGGGGGGGGTAATATTATGCCCACTTTGGAAAACATTGTGCCCATATTTCATGAAAGAATAAAACGTCCCACAGACGTTTATATTCATGAGAAAAAAAATTCCAGATGTGGAGCCATCTCGAATACACCCTTTTAGGGGCGTGGCAACCATATAGGAAAAAAAGGGGGGCGGGTTTTTTATTATGCCCACCCTGGAAATATTGTTCCCACATTCATAGAGAAATGGAACTTTCCACAGACATTGACATTCGTGAGAAAAACAATTCCAGATGTGGAGCCATCGCGACCACACCCTTTTAGGGGCGTGGCAGCCATATTGAAAAAAAGGGGGGCGGGGTTCTCATTATGCCCAACATGGGAAAAAATGTGCCAACATCTCATAAACGAATAAAGCTAATTCCCACAGATATTAAAATTCAAGAGAAAAAAAAAGTCACACATGAAGCCATCGTAAACACACCCTTTTAGGGGCGTGGCAGCCATAGTAAAATAGGGGGGGATAGTCATGATGCCCCTATAAAAGAAAGTTCTTATGTAGAGCCACAGCAAACTCATCCTTTTAGAGGTGTGAGGGGCCTATTCACTGTGCCCACAATTGCAATTTTTATATTTTGTTGTTGATTTCTTATAATGTTGATTGGCCCATAACCTATATTATTTGGTAATACAATGACTTACCCCAAAGAGCATGAGTAAGTACCGGTAGGCTAACCCGTGTTATATTGTTCAATGTGTGTACTTGCACCTATATTATCATGCACATCTAAATTCCAGAGTGATTTCATAATTACAAATACGCAGCACACAATGGCAGCCCTAAACTCTAACATTTAACATTAAAGGGCCATGGAAATCCTTTTTTTTACGGGGGGGAGGAGTATAAAATCCCCCTACCCCCTACCCGTTGCGCCCCATTGACAGCAGATTGGGTAACAACACGATGTTCTCGCCTCACAAAGTGGTGGACACGTCTACTATGACTTCACATTCAATGAATCTGTGTACCCCCACCACACAACACCTCTGTTCTCTTAAAAATGGTATATCAAGCTCTTATGAGTGTTTTTTCTTTACCCCGACCAAATCCATTAAAAAAAATTATACGTTATACAGGTGCGACACTGCATATGCCTTTTGGTTTGTCAGAAAAAAAGGCAGGGGAAACAATGTATTTGAAGAAGTAACACTAGTCTTTCCAGGACTAACTGAGGTACCCCAGTTTATACCCCTAATTCAGATATTGATGCAGTTGAAAGGTTATCAATAATTCTACAGACGAAAGAACCAGTAACTGGGTTAATATAGATGAGGCAAGAATGCATAGTGTAAGAAAACAAAGGGTTTGTCAACAGTAAATTCCAACTATAAAGGCGGCCCTACTCCAACACATTAAACAGCTATCTGAGGTGGATTTTATTATATGAAACGCGGTCAAAATTTTCCACGTTGTGCATATTGAGTACCCCCCCCCTTTTAGAAATGGATGCCGCACCTCTAAAAGGGTAGGTTTGTGATGGCCTCACATTAAAAAAACAACATTTTTATGAATATATTGTCCGAGTGGAATTTAATCCATTTATGAAAGGAAGGCACAAAGTTCTTTTATAGGGGCATCATGACTACACCCCCCCATTTTATTATAGCTGCCACGCCCCTAAAAGGGTGTGTTTGCGATTGCTCCACGTATGATTTTTATATCGTGAGTATTAATGTCTGTGGAAATTAGCTTCATTCGTTTATGAGATGTGGGCACATTTTTCCCATGTTGGGCATAATGAGAACCCCGCCCCCCTTTTTTTCAATATGGCTGCCACGCCCCTAAAAGGGTGTGGTCGCGATGGCTCCACATCTGGAATTGTTTTTCTCACGAATGTCAATGTCTGTGGAAAGTTCCATTTCTCTATGAATGTGGGAACAATATTTCCAGGGTGGGCATAATGAAAACCCCGCCCCCCCTTTATTTCCTTATATGGTTGCCACGCCCCTAAAAGGGTGTGTTCGAGATGGCTCCACATCTGGAATTTGTTTTCTCATGAATGTCAATGTTTGTGGAAAGTTCCATTTCTCTCTGAGTGTGGGAAAAATATTTCCAGGGTGGGCATAATGAAAACCCCGCCCCCTTTTTTTTCCTATATGGTTGCCACGCCCCTAAAAGGGTGTATTCGAGATGGCTCCACATCTGGAATTTTTTTCTCATGAATATAAACGTCTGTGGGACGTTTTATTCGTTCATGAAATATGGGCACAATGTTTTCCAAAGTGGGCATAATATTACCCCCCCCCTTTTCTTTTAATGGCTGCCACGCCCCTAAAAAGGTATTTTTGTGGTGGCTCCGAATCTGGAAAACACTAATAATCTATATAATTATGTCTTTGTGAAGTTTCCTGCTTTTGTAACAAGTGGGAAAACCATTTTTACTGCGGGCATGACAAGTCCCGCCCCCTTTTTTTTAAATGGTGCCACGCCCCTAAAAGGGTAAATTTGCGATGGCTCCACATCTAAAACATTTTCTCGCATGAATATAAACATCTGTGCCAAGTTTCACGCTTTTATGCAAAAGTGCACAATTCATCGATATTTTGTCACATATCCGCTGGACTATTATGAATACAACAAGAACAAACCAAGAATTATTGAAATTGGTTCCCGAAAAACCCCGACAATTTTGAACATGTCCAATATTGTCGGGTGCTTCCCGATCTTTAACGATCTTTCACCGAACTAACGGAATCATCCCGAGGCAGCCATTCCCCGATTTACTCAAGAATTGCTATTCGCGGCGGTTCGGCTTAAAAATCGGGAATGTGTGAACCTAGCATTACGGACAATGCAACGAGATCGCCATAGCACACGACATAATCATCGGGAAATTGACTCCCAAAATACCGCCAGGAAACAAAGGAAACAAATTGGATCGTGTTTTAGAGAAATAAATTATGTTTTGGCGGCTGTACTGATAATTAAAGTGCACTACGTTTAATTCCAAGCGGTCGTGTGCTAACTCTACTGCTGCATCTCATGTACGTACGTTGGGTGACCTTCCGTTGTTTATTAACTTATTATGGTGGGTAAAGTTCCAAATGGTATGTAGAGAATACGGTGCTAAAATTAATCCATTTTGAACTTTTTGGTGAAATTGGTAGCTGTACACAAATACGTAACAACCAGTGGCACAACCTTCCGTGAGGACCGGTCGGGGTTTAGGCCCTATTTGCCAATTAGACCACAAAGCTGTGGCTACACTTATGTCTCGTTTTGTTGGGTTGGGTCGCGTAGTAGGGGCAGTGACAATTTAAAGATTATGCATTATTTTATACCTAATTTGATGGAACTATCCATTAAATAGCTGTTGTTATCATGTGGATACACCTACTTTTTTTTTTTTTTTTTTAATAATAAGTTCCTATAAGTTCCTATCCTCAATTCATCGATGATGTTGCACGTGTGTGTCCTCGATTTACATCTAAACCTACTCAAGTGCATTGTGTAAACATCCTTTTGGTATGTTGACCCCCCCCCCCCCATTTTGTTTTATTTCATATCACAATTCGCCAATCATGATGTTTTCATGTCTACAAATATAGAAGGGAAGAGTTTCAAAGATACTTATGGTGCACGCAAAATAAGTTCATTATGTTTGTAGGCCTACATGTAGGAAGCCTAGGCCTACATAGTTCATATAAAATTCATACACATGTATTTCCATTATGAACACTACAATGAGTCAGATGGTTACCCATATTCTCCCTTTCCGAATTCATCTTCACGCCACCTCCATGAAACAAACTGGCCGTCGTTTATAAAAAAAAAAAAAAAAAAACCATTATGAACAGCCAACTGCATGACTGCAAAAAGCAACAGGCATGCACTTGTCGAATTGTCAATAACACAACGGTGGAAAGTCCAAAATCCATAGATAACTAGATCAATATACACAATCAAAACGGGCGTAATCCTCATGTGACTAGCTGATGAAATCCAGATTGCTGTAGCTTAAGCACAAAAACACCATTTTGCTGTTCGTGTTTGTAAAGTGCTAACAAGAACGTGTTTCATCATGGCCAAGTTACTTCTCTGCGTTCTTCTGCTTGCTTGTAGTCCTTGTAAGTTTCAAGTGTGAAACATAAACTGTCTTGGGGTAATTGGCTAAATATTTGGAACAGACTCTGAACATTTACCACCCTGTCTTTCGATTGTAATTTTCATTTGTTTTATCTACGTGTCACTATATATTTGGGTATATCAATATCGTCATGTTATCGCCGTCGCTTCAATATTGTCATAAATTATTGCATTTCGATGCAATTTTAGGATCACTGTGAGTTTTCTTTTCGATTTCAGTTCCCTATTTACAGATAGTGCTACGTCTAAATGGAACATTTAAAGAATGACAGATGAATAATTTTTGTCCCATATTATCTTTTTTTTCTACAGGAAAAGTTTTACTCTGTCTATCAAAATGTGCTACCCGCGACACAAGTTGTAACATGAGCAACTGATTTTACTTAGACAAAAAAAATCAACTGTACAGAAAACATGATGTTGTCCTTCAAAGTTAGGTTTTGTGTCTTCGTTTTAATCATTTGACACACTCAAACATGCCAAGTCTCTTATTAATGATGCGCACACATCACCAAAAGTTTAATAAAGAGACTTGTAAAAAGTAGAGATGTTGTTCCAAACTAAATTTCTTGTAGGTTTTAGACCTGGAATGTCAGCTACTACCGATGCACCTACCGATGCAACAAGTGAAGCATCAACTGCCCAAACAACTGGACAAGTATCTACTAAAGCTGGAGGGACAACAGTTAAGTCCACAGCTACCTCTGGTTCCACCGCATTTATTACAACACCCGCTACAGACGAAATGACAAATGCGACCATGGAACAGACAACGATGACAACGGAGATAACAACGGATAACACTACAACTGATAACACTACAAATGAACCGACCACAATGGCAATCACGACCCCTCCAGTTACAACATTGCCTCCTCCTGGAAAGTACGTATCAAAACGCAAGGTTATCATCACAATGTTGCAATTTTGATATCACAATTATTTGAAACTTCACATCTCACATTTGTCTCAATTATACTTTTCTCACAACGTTACAGATATGTAGTGAACGGTTCTGATGGAACATGCATCTTGATGCAGTTTTATCTCCAAGTCATGATTACTTACAAGAAAACAGATGGAGAGGTAGGTTATTTGATTACCGTTTCATAGTGATTTGGAAATATCTCTCGACGATCACTCCCACGATCATCGACCATCGATCGTGCACGACCATCTCAACAACAATCACCTGTTTTCGAACACGTGTTAAAAATATATCTACATCGCTGTGATCACAATCTCAGTTTTTATTCTCGCATCAGAACGGTTTGAACTCGTGCCCATCACTCTGAACAACAAAGCGTTTTTAAACGTTTAATCAGACGGACGAGGAAAGGCCACGATTTCCAAGCGTCCCTTTGCAAAACAAAATCCGTATAGTAGCAGCAATTATTGCATCGTTATATCGGAGGTGCGCCGGGCTCGGCGAACACGAGCATACCAATGACCAGAGAATTAGACTCCAGAACTGAGCCAAATCACTTGTCTAGACCCTTATTTAAAAAGGCGAGAAGAGGCATGTTTTAGTATAAGTTGGTAACATGGCTAATTTACCTAATCAGGGGTGCTGAGTCCGAATTGATGGATACAATGTGATTCATAAGATTAAAGGGTATTATCATCAAATCATAAATGGTCTATGTTCTGAGGACCAATCGAAAATATACGCATGCTGCCTCATGTATATTGCTAAAAACTGGAATGATTAATGCTAAGCAGGGTTTTGAGATTAAAGGTGTAATTTTATTTTTTAGAGTAAATGAGCAGTTATCATCTAACCAGAACAATACATGTAAATTGATTTATTTTCACAAGCATATTTTTTTATAGCAAATCATACCACAGATTGGAAGATGAGTCCTTATGTTTGTTACGAAGTTCAGATTAAAGGGGTGTTTGAGATTAAAGAGGCATTACTTCCTTACGTAAATAATTTGATTTTAACACTTAAAAACAGTGTAACAGTATTCAGGTTTGGCAATATTTAAGTATTTATCAGAAAATTTGATGGGACTGTTAAAGATACACTTTCGTTTGGAGATCCCCCCAAACCCCAAAGGTACTGTATTTTCAGATCCAAAAAGGCTCCGATTTCTTTTATGCGCGCGCGTCGCCGTAGCCATGCGCGTCGACAAAATAAAAAAAGGGTTTTTTTTCAATGTAAGATGATGTCTCAAAACTGGTTTGAATAGAATCCTGCTACTGCACAATTTTAACATGTTTTAGATGGGGTTACGATCGAGTATAAGCTTTATGCGGCCTCTCTGGGCCAGGCGCGGTTCTACGGGGGGGGGGGGGGGGCTAGGGGGGCTGTAGCCCCCCCAAAATTTTGTCTAGCCCCCCAAAAATAAATTCCTTAAAAAAAAAAAAATTGCATTAGCAAAAAGAAGGATTGTGATGTACATGCGAACAGTCTCCCCCTAAAGAAGAAATAGCCGTCGACAAGGGTGCATTAGTTAATATAGTGTGAATGATTTAGGATTGTATTGGCGCTCCCCATTGAAAATATGGCAACTCGTCGTCGCACCACTTTTGGGGCAAGCTCCATACCCGAAACCGGGGTGTTTTTGGCCTTACTCATAGGGAACAGACTTCCCCCGCATTTTCAATAGTTTGAGTGACTGAAAAGCCACCTAATATCTCACATAGAGAATACTAAAAATACTCGTCTGTTTAAAATGAAATCATCGAATTTTTTTTCAACCAAACTGTCAACATAATCCTGGTGCTTCATAACATGCATATCACGTATAGTGGCAATTCACTGTGATATCATATCCCATGCTCCCGCGCTCATAAATCGAGCTGGAGAGCTAGTCGTCATTCCAGTCATATAATTAAGTGGGCCCCGAATCCCACGCCGTAATTTTTTGACCCACTTTTTGGGGGACCAAAAGGGGTTTTTTTTGGTCCTAAAGAAATTGTGTTCTGGATCCGCTCTTGGCGTACATAGTGATCATTGTGCGTTTGATGCCATTCTCTGATAAGAAATGATTATGTCACTTGAAATCCGACGTTTATGAACACTATATCACAGAATAATGTACATATGCCCCGTAGCAAAGCTGGCTTTGTACGTATTTTGTGCAAGGCGGACATTATTATACTAGCATAAAACATTTGGGTGTCGGAGCAGGAGGGGGGGGGGGGGTTCGCATTTTTTTCAGGAATTTTTATGGAAAAAAACTTTGGCAGAGCTGAGTGGGGTTTTGACCCTCAACCCCCCCCCCCCCCGGATCCGCGCCTGCATTTTCGGTTTTATATGTACATGTTCATGTATTGTCCTTCAGTGGGACATAAACTAAGCTAAACCTAAAGTTTTTCGCGCCCTGTTTATGTTAACAGTTTGGTTGAAAAGTCGATGGTTATATTATCTTGCCGCCTTCATTACGCAAACAGCCAGGCCTTTTAAAACATTATCTCCATGAATGCAAGACATACATTTTCTGTGACAAAGACCACAGTTGTATATGGCTAGTAAATAATATGGAACGCTACATTTTGGCGATTTACGGACGAAAATTCAACTTGACATTTCCACCATGCATGAGTCCCACGCCAATGCAAGGAGTCCAGGGTGGACATGGTTCAGTGTGCTTAGGACCACCCTCGGCCGGATAGAAACAAATAAATTCGCCGATTCTGGAGGATTGTCATAGAAATAGTTGCAGCACGTAGTACATATTCCCTTTAATACACGAAATATTATGATGCATTTTTTTCCACATAGGTAGCTACAACATCTGTCGTTTTCCCGGATACCTCTGTTCCTACGGGAAATTGTACCGATAACAGCCGGTATTTCTCCCTGGCATACCCGGCGCACGATGACTGGCACCTCAGGTTGGACTTCAACGTCGAGGAGAAGATGTACGAGATGACTTCCCTCACTCTCCAGTGGAAATATGAGGAGCCTTTTTTCTCTGATACTGATCAAATGGGTAAGATGCAGCTATAGGTATACTGATATCCTTTACCAGAGTTGTAGTACTCGGAACTATTACTCGAATGTCAAAGTACTCGTACTCGAAATGACGGTACTCGATCGTGCTCGGGCAGCATAGTTCTCGTACTCGACATGTCGAAATTGTACTCGAACATCAAAGTACTTGTACTCGAGCAGTACTCGAAAAAGAAAAAAAAGGTATAGCTTGACTTACCACAGCCTTGTTTTATCGATGCTTTCAGTTTGAAATGGTTGATTGGCTTGCGGAGAAATCGAAGTTTCCTGATTTTCCTCTGTGCACGTCCCGACGCGGTATTTTTATTTGCAGCACATTATCATCAATGGATCATGATTATTCATTAGAAAATAACAATTATGCACAATGAACCATTTGCCGTATGGCCGTATTCGGAAAAAGAAGTTGTCGTACTCGTACTCGAACGTAAAAGTACTCGTAGTCCTACTCGTACTCGGTAACCTAAGTACACGGCAGAACTCGGTACTCGGAAAAAGTACTCGACTAAAACACTGGCATTTCCCTTCACGGATTCACGCAAAATAAGAAAAGACGGAGTGAGTGGGGTGGGGGGGGGGGGGGGGGGGGGTGGGGGGAGGAGAGAACTCCTCGACAAATATGGTTCAGTGCCCCCCCCCCCCCCCCCCCCCCCCCCCCCCCCCACTTTTCGAATTTCCGAGGGCCGGCCGAGGTCGGTCAGCTTCTAATGACAAATAGTGCGTCACAGTAAAATTGCTTCTAAAACTACACTGAAAAAAACCCCTCGGTGCTTAGCAAATAAATGCAATTGAACATTGATGTTTAGGACTTGAATACACAATGTTTAGCTTCTAAACATGTTTACAAAGTGATATAGCAATAATTGCTAAGCACAGTTTTTTGGAGTGTACATTTATCCTCGGACTTTAAATTTAGGCGATTTTTTTTGTTGTTTTCAAGATTTGTCTAAAGTCTATTTGTTAGTCATAGTCTTCGCACTTGTTTTCTCCTTGAAGGTGACACGGACGACATCAAATTCGATGACCCTAAGAGCCTGAACGTTCGAGCCGATACTGGCATGACCTTTGAGTGTAAAATACGGAAACTACAAGCAGAGTCAGTTAATATAACGCTGGAAGAGATCAAGTTTCAGCCATATGCTCAGCAGTCAGATGACAAGGGCGACTTTGGTAAATGTAAGTCGTCGTGGGGTGGGCGTCCCCATCTTTGTACGTTCTTGTTGGTTTTGGCAATTCAAATGTTTTAGACGGCCAGTTATTAAATTGGTTATTAAACGCTTTTATCAAAGATCATAGACTTTACAGTGCTATAGGTTTTCCCGGACAATTTCGGAAAATGTGCACATGAATTTGTAAAAGAAGCATTCTTTTTCGTGCGAAATAGAATGAACGTTCCAAATCCCTGTTTCTATTTAACAAATGATAATTCTATTTCCATGAAGGTGCATTCAGTCGTAAAAAAAATCAGCGTACAGTTTCCCGAATGTGCACTGGATTTGGTGTATTGACATTTCATTTTAGCGCGAAATCAAAGGTATATCCGCAATCCTGTATTCCATTTAATTTATCATCAATCTATTTCGCTAAATGTGCAGCCGATTTCTTGCGCAGCGTTATTTAACGTATGCCTGGTCAAGCATTGGAATTCATTAATGTGTTCACAAAAGTAACATGAGGAATGTTTGATTGAATGATTGAATATTCATGATGATTGAACTAAACTAGGTGGTGTATCTTTTGAAACATACAATACAATAAATCCCACATAAAAGCCTAAGCTGAAGACAATCGTTCTTTTTTTTTGCTCAGCATTTGCCACAAACGCATCATATAACTAAGCAATCGAACTGATAAAATGAGAAAGAACTTTAAGAAATACAGGAAGATATTAAAATACAATTAAGACAAAGAACCAACAAGAAAAGTATCCAGATCCCATGTAACATGACACGTGATGTTTCCCTTTACCGTCCCAATAATAGCATACAAGACTGTTTTGATTGATTTTATTTTGGTAAGATTTATATCTTTCTAACATTTCATTTGTCTATTTCAAATAGGCCTTTATGTACATAACAACAAACACATTAATGATCAATTAGGCCTACAATACAATCAAAGCTGTATCATGATTTATACAGGCTGTATAATCTATTTAGATTGAATGCAGACTTTGCGAATTTAAATTATGACAAATGAAAAAGAATGTACAATTCAGCCCCTGTCACAATAACAAATCGATTTTCTGCGAATTGGATTGCACATTTGTAATAATCAGCAACGCATCCGTCGAACCGGAAGCCTAATTACGTATTTGTAATCCTTTAAATTAAACGTTATGTACATTCATTTATTTGAATGATGCAAAATGAAATCGAATGCTAGTTATTGCCAAAATGAAACCCGGATAAACGTCGTTCTCAAAATCAGGGCCAAATTGAATTTATGTTTTACAAATTCAAATGCACATTTTCCAACATTGTCCGGGAAAACCTATATTATCTTTAGCGCATTGGATTATTATCACCATTTTCCCCCAAAAACTTTCTGGAATGATATCAAACAAGGATTTTAACATAACGTGCTTCTTTTTTTGACAGCGGAACTCTGTGATGAAGATAAACCAACTAAAAAACCACAAGGCCCAGCAGATGACACCGGCATGATAGTGGGAATTGTCCTCGGATCTGTTGCTGGTGTTATTCTTATCATTGGAGGACTGTACTTTTTTATGAGGCACAGGCGCCAGCGTGAATCATACAAAAGTCTGGATTAAAACCTACAACTGGGAGGCTCTGACAGTATCCTAAGTCAGAATTTGTTTTTTTTCGAAAACAGGAGAAAAGCTATTGGTAGCTTTATCTTGAAAAATTAATTCTCAGACATTTCTTTTTAAAAACTTAAAAGTCGGTAAATCACATACCCGGTAACCTTTGGGAGTTGGGGGTTGGGTGAAGAGGTGGGATAGAGTGCTACTTGGCATGACAACAAACGGATCCATAAGGTCACTGACTAAGTCGAAATGGACTAAATCCGGCCCATTGCGATGACCAGAATGCAAGAAATTACTTCCAGTTAAATAGTCAATCTGATTCAATTGTTAATGCGTGCGCTCGGGGACCATCTTAACTTGGTTCGATTTGTCTTGTAAATATAGTGAACTATGTACCTCTCACCGCACTTTTCAAGTTGTGTTTCCAAATCAATACTAAAAATTATCAGAAATATAAATAATACACAGCAGTCGAATAAAATTCAATCCAAACGGCTTGATATTCAAGCATTTATTTCTTTCTCTTTCGCGAAAAGATATCACATGCATGAAAGGCTGGTTATGTTGCACTTAGTCGATAACGGGTACTAGCCAATCGATGAGATTATTGAGCAACGATCATGCAAACATGATTTCGATAAATAGTAGATTGAACTATTCAAGGTGTCATATATTACAGCTGCATTGTTTGTGATTTATACGATACATTGTTTTGCTATGTTTCTATCAATTTTACTTTTAGCAAATATAAACTTGGGACTATATATGTGAAGAAAAAAACCAAGACGGGAAAATCCACTCTTTGTCTTGATTTAACCCATGTCGGTATCCATAGGCCATTATACAATTATCAACACGGTTTAAGGAAAGCAGTGGAAGGTATAACAACGTGGGACAACAACTTGTGCTTCTTAGACGTGTTGGAACCGATTTAATGAAGTGCATTTGTCCAAAAATATATATGACGTGATGCAATCCAATAAATCACACCTATACAGATATATCAAATTCGTAATTATATAAATATGATCACATTCTAATAAATTATCATTACTCGTCATAAACGTATTAAAAAAAAGTTACAAGTGGCAATTTATTTTAACACTATGTCATTGCCAGTGGCATGCCCTCCGCTTAGAATTTGGGCAAGGCAGATTTAGCTGTTTTATTGTTAACAATACAAGTGCCCATTCTAAGTAGGACCCCAGTTACGCCGCTGGTTGTTGCATATCGTTGCTGTAAATTCAAAGGCGATTGTGGATTATTATGGCACATAATCCTATATATTCTTCCTATTAGCATAACAGCTGTTAATTTGCTATCATGAGATAAAATAGCCACCAAAAAAATCTGTTTCAATGTGTGACGATGTATTATTTATTTGATACCTGTTCGGCTAGGATTTCTACGGAAGAGTTAAAGGGACATAATACAAGTTAAAGAAAAGATTAAGTCATGCATAATTATGACTTTTATCTCATCATTATTTTAAAGTCATATTTATGACTTATATCTTATAATAATGATTTAATATTAAGTCATAATTTTGAGATATCCTAAGTCATAATTACGACTTATTCTCAGACTGATATAATATACAAGTTAGTAGTTACAAAACACAAACAAGTTTTGTAATTATGCCACAGCTCTTCTTTATTCAACACAACATTGCATTTGCCAGAAACCATAGGCAAACTGGCAAATAAAAACAATGTAGTGGGGTACACCAGACCCTCTGGGTTGATCAGACCCAGCCATGAATAGGTCCCACCGGACCCACTACATATAGGTCACACCATACCTTGATAATTAGGGCATACTAGACCCTGGTACATAGGGCACCAGACCCTGTCAAAATAAGGGCACACCAGACCCTGACAGAATTAGGGCACACCAGACCCCGATACATAGGGCATACCAGACCCTGATACATGGGGCATACCAGACCCTGATACATGGGGCATACCAGACCCTGATACATGGGGCATACCAGACCCTGATACATGGGGCATACCAGACCCTGATACATGGGCATACCAGACCCTGATACATGGGGCATACCAGACCCTGATACATGGGGCATACCAGACCCTGATACATGGGGCATACCAGACCCTGATACATGGGGCATACCAGACCCTGATTATAATTCTAAGATATGTCATAATTATTACTTAATACTAATTCGTTATTATAAGATATAAGTTGTAATTATGACTTAATAATAAGTCATTATTATATATGTCATAAATATTATTTAATAATTAGTCATAAATATGAGCTATAAGTCATAAGTATGATTTAACAATTACTAAATCGTAATAATGATTTAATACTAAGTCATTATTATAAGATATAAGTCATAACTATAACTTGATAATAAGTCTTAATTATGAGGTATATAAGTCATAATTATGATTTAACAATTTGTGTTTAGTTTATATTATGTTCCTTTAACGCTTCCGTAGATTTCGGTCCAGATTGCTCTATCGGTTGGTCAATCTGTCGTTCGATTCGTCAGTCCGTTGTTTTACCAGGCAGTTGTGATTATATCTGTGTATGACTTTGGGACATAAAGGAAACGTTCATTGGCGTATCATCATCAGTTCTAAATTGGAAATGCAACCATAATCCACGAACACAATGCAGCTGAGTTGATTTGCGCATTTTGTTATGTCAATACTGTCAGGTCAGTCAAAGTCCATGATTCTGCTAAAAGGTATACATGAATACAGAAGCCAGGTAATTAACAATGCCTATATCTTATGATTGTTGGACAGAAATACCGACCATCGCTTGCTGCTTCACAGACTTACAAATTTCGACCTGAACAAATTCATGTCTTTAAACAGTGATCATACCCACACCGTCGAGTCATGGACACTCGGAAAACTGCTATAATGATAAAGGTTATCATCCTTGTTCTGCTCGGAGCAATTGGTAAGTAATGTCCAATGTCCAAGCAACACTTAATAATCCACAGATAAATATAGTGTGAAAACTGTTCACATTGATCCTTGGTTCCTACTCAATAAACAGATATAATAAGATAACTATTAGTTAATGAATAGTTATCTTATTTGTTTATAGAGCAGGTCTCGTTTAGTTGTTGGGAAAAAGCAAGCGACCAAGTTGGTTGGTGTTGGCTAGTCTTAAGGCTCCCTGGTGACGGACCACGAAGGGAGGGATGTCAGTCAATAGCATGAGAAATAGGGCTGACAGTACATAATGCTGAGTGCGGTTATTATTTATTTATATTATTTATTTTACATCTTTTGACATTAAAATATGCTAATATGAACAGGGGATGTCAAGGAAAAAAACAAAAGTATAAAACTGTCATCAAAATCATGTGTTCATCCAGACCCCTGTTTAAAAAATATATATATATATATATATATATATATATATGTAGATGCATATATATGTTTCAACAACTGTCAACAACTTTAGTACACAATATATTTATTAACATTCCACTTTTCTTTTTAAAAGACGGGCCTTCAAAAGGACTTTGTTGAATATGTTTAACTTTCGCTGGTGACGTTTGAAGACAATTGCGACGACGATTCTCGAAATCGCATTTTTGGACGAAAGAGGTTTTGGGGGTCATCGTTTTTAAATGGGGATATACTTTGAACGGATTGAGGAAGTAATTTTTTTCATCTAAAAGTAGTTCATGAACTTTGCTTTCCAGTCATTATTATTTTTGGTGCTACATATTTTTTAAATATAAAATATACTTTTTGAGGTTTGGGTTCCGCTTTTTTTGACTCACCCTGTATATATATTTTTTAGATTTAAACATAAAAGTTGCTATGCTGTCTGCTTAACTGGTCCATTGCAGCTAAAAAAAAAATCCCAAAAATATATTAAAAAAAATTAAGACACTCAAGACTTAGGCAAGACTGTTGAATAATGTAAATCAAGTTCAGAAGGCTTGTACGCGGTTACTAAGCAACAAACAAACACAATGAGATCCTGGAAGTCCGATGGACATTATTAAGAGCGGCATTGTATACTTTTATGCCGTGCTAACGAACATTACTCAGATGAATCTGAGGGAATTATTGTGGCTACAAATGGAGGTTATCGAAATAGGAATAATGGATATACCCAAATTACGTAAAAGTTGTCGACATTTCAACATCCCGGTTGTAGCACCCTAGCTTTTCATTGTTCACCACTATATACACTCAAAAATGATGCCGTCGATGAAGTCATGGCGAATTGGACATAGACACACTTCCGAGTTTAAACCCCTAAAATTTCAAGGTTCGAATTAAAATATTTTTCGACGAGGAGCTGTTTCGGTATAGCATCCCAGATCTAAAGGCTTCAAACGTCTCTTGTTTTTGGATATGATCTATGCGTACATGATTCGGTGGAATTGATGAAAACTATTTCATTTCAACGTGTGGACCAATCTAACGGCAAAATATCTGTTTTAAGGAGGTTTAAAGACGAAAGGAATAGAGGGAGAGAATGTTCTGATTCCCTAACTCATGTAAAAGGTATGATATTGTCATTCTTGTTTTCATTAAGGTCGGAGTGATGGTACTACTGTAGCCACGACGGAGCAACAGCCAACTGTTGAAGCTGGTACCACTATCCATTGGACGAGTGTGGGGAATACAACCCAATCCCCTCTTACACAAACCACTTAAGCTATCATCATTCCAAGGTTTCAATTTATGCATATTTAATGTGACAACCACTGACAAGGTTTACATGAAAAAGGGGGCCCTGTTTGAAATAATTCGTGTGACCACGAATACTATGACGTAGTTTGACTATCATTGTTTTGGGGCTTGAGTCAGGAATCAGTGGCTAACACTTCATTTTTTTTACACGATCCTTGATTTTGGATGGAATAAGTCTTTAAAACGCTGTTAATGAATGCAATCGTTACTATTTTGACCCACTGTCCCATTCAATTACAAAATATATATGACAATAAAGAGTAAAGGAGATTTTTTTTCGAAAAGTCGAAATGTCTTTTTCTTTTCACATATTTGGCAAAATGTTGCTGCTTGTTTGAAACACAGTTAGGGAAACTTTACTTTTTTGGTATGGTTTATTTGATCTCAATCCGGCCAAAGCGGCGCGTGATTTGATATATTTAAAGATAACTAAACCACAAAGGGAACTGAGTGGTAAACAACTTCTGCCGATAAAAGGGAAGAAAACTGACTGAACAACTAATCTTGAAACAAAGATTTAGATTAAATTGTTACAACATAATGCTTGCAGGTATGTCGTAAAGAATACTGACGGAAAGACGTGTATATTAATGGAGTTTACCTGGAAACTGCTGATTCAGTTTACAACTCTTTCTGGGCAGGTAAGAACACTTGGCTTATATCTGATTTCCATATTCATGTTTATTATAATGTGTTACTACATAAATAATAATGGCAACAGCTTTTTGATGCGTGACTTTATTCTAAGGAATTTGAAGAAAGGTGTACGTTTGTCCCCTTAGCACTGTGTTTTTCCTGAGACCTTATTTATAGCTATTGCAAATCGTTGCAATCTCTCAACTGCCTTATCCAAGAGCGTTGGTGACCTACACTGATTCATTGGAGGTCTCATTGGTTTCTTTTTGTATAGCTAATGACCCGATGTGATATACTGACCTGAAGTCTGCGCGCACATTGCAAGTGACCTATCCGTCAGCTGTTTACATGTTGTTGCTATAGGGGCAAGAATAAAGTGTTACATTATAATTATTATTACGTTGTAACACTTTATGCGCACTTGGATGAAGTCTTGGTCTGAGACTGGATTTGAAACAGAGACGGTCCCGATGCCTGGCGCTAATATAGCGGGCGCTAGCAACAGCTAGATGAACCATTTTAGTCTTTGAAACGATATGACACTCGGATCGTAATATTCTGAATGAACCTCGCGCACGCGCAGTAGCTTGAAAATTGTGAGCGTTACTACCTCGATAAGGCGGCTGGACAAGCGAACATGGAACATCTCATAATCAAAACATTCAGCGGCACTTTCAACTCTAAAAGAGCATGTTAAAAACATTTCAAAAACTTCGGCTTAAGTTAAAGTTATACTTTTTTGTCACATGAAGTTATTGTTTACTTCAACTTGCCTTTGCCATATGGGCCGGGTTAAGGTAAGAACAGGCCTCGGCCAAAAGAACGCAGCCCTACTCAACATGACAAACATGATTCTTGCGAGTGGAATTGCTCATGCCTGTGAAATTATTGAATTAATGAACTTGTTAATCGGATTGTGAAGTAATTTTGCAGGAGGATCTTAGTGTTTATGGGAAACCCTGAGTGTCGGGACCCATGGGACCGTGTCTTAATCAGCTGTTGCTTGCCAATCAT